TTTGGGGGGAGGGGACGCCTCCCGCGCTCCGGCGTCCACTTCGGGGGTCCCAGGCCGGCTTGGGGGACCCCTGAGCGCGCCCCGCTGCTCGGCCCGGCCCCCTCGAGGGCGCCCCGGGAGCGGCCGGCTCTGAGCCCAGTTGTTTCCGCGACAGGAGGGCGCCCCGGAGCCCCCGGACCCCGCGTCCGGGTGGCAGATGCCCCCCGAGAGGGCCGGATAAGCGTCTGCGGCCGCGAAGTTCTGCCTGGACGGAGCCCCGGACGCAGCGAGTCGGCGAGAGAAGCTGCCAGGCGCCCCATCTGCCTCCGGAAAGTTTGTCCTCGAGGAGTCGAGTGCGGGGGTCCCGGGGCCGCCCTCAGCGCGGACCCCGGCCGGCCGGCATGGGACCTCGGTAATGGAAGGCCCGGAGCAGACTTCCCCGCGCCGGCTGCGTGTTTGTCCGAGGGTCTAAAGTCCCAGAGGATGACCTAGAACTTCAAACAGCCCAGCCGGCCTGCCAGGGCCCCGCGGACGAGTCGCTCGCGGCCGCCAGGCCGGGGCGCACCCCGACTACCCGCCCCGGCCCGCGCGGACTTGGGTTTCCTACAATCGCTTCTTTTCCAAGAAGGGTTTTCTTTGGTGTTGGTTTGTGTTGACATTTGGTGGTGAGAGGAAGAAGGGCTGGGCGGCGGGACTCGGCGCGGGTCCAGCATGGATGTGGTGGACCCCCAGCAGCTGGGCATGTTCACGGAGGGCGAGCTGATGTCTGTGGGCATGGACACCTTCATCCACCGCATCGACTCCACCGAGGTCATCTACCAGCCGCGTCGCAAGCGCGCCAAGCTCATCGGGAAGTACCTGATGGGGGACCTGCTGGGGGAGGGCTCCTATGGCAAGGTGAAGGAGGTGCTGGACTCGGAGACGCTGTGCCGGCGCGCCGTCAAGATCCTCAAGAAGAAGAAGCTGCGGCGGATTCCCAACGGGGAGGCCAACGTGAAGAAGTAAGTGCCGGCAGGCGGGTGCTGAGAGGGTTCGCCTTCCTTTCCTTCTGCCCGGCTCCCGCCTCTTTTCCTTCCTCCTTCCTCCCACCCCACCTGCCTCCTGCCTCCCTTCTTCCCTCCCTTCCTCTCTGCCTGCTTCCCTTCCTTTCTCTTTGCTTTCGTCCTTGTTTCTTTTCTCCTTGCCTCGCTCTCTCCTTCCTTCACCTTCTTTCGTCTGTCTCCTTAACTGCTCACCTCTCTCCTGTCTCTGCCTTCCTTCCTTCCTCCCTCGCTCACTCTGCTGTACTTTCTCCATTCCTTCTTTCCTCCCTTTCTCCCCTTAAACCCCGAGCTGACAGGCAGGCCAGCGTCCTCTGCTCGGGACTGTGCCCTGGAGACCCACAGGCACTTTCCCTGGCATCGGGCGCCGGGGTGTGCGTGTTGGTTTGCGCCCTGGGGGCCCTGGTGAGAGCGCCCGGGACATCAGCACCCGCCAGTGAGGTGCACACCTCCCACCCCCGGTGTTGGAGGAGCCTGGGAACCCGCTGGCGGGAGCTGACTTCAGGCCGTGACTTGGGCGGTGGAATGTGTTGTGTTTACCCTGTTAGAGGGAAGTCCCGCCGCTGCCAAAAAGCTGTTTCCACCGGCTTATCGGGCAGCAGGACCCGGCCCTGCCCAGCCGCTGGGGTGGGGCCCTGATCAGGCGTCCCTGACGGGCCCCAATTTATGCCCAAAGAGGGACAGATGGGCCCCTGCGCTCAGCCCGTGCGGGGTCCACAGCCGGGCGCTCTCGCTGGGGACCCTCCGTCCCGACTCCCGAAAGGCGTTGGTTTCATGGGCTGGACGGCCCCACGCCCGCTCTCGGGCTCCACACCCGGCCTCTCAAGGCGTAGACCGCTGGGCTGGGGCTGCGTCACCCGGACTCCGCTTCCTGTACTCCTTCCTCTCGCACCTGCTCTCCTGAACCTCGCTCTCTGGGGAATGGGAAGCCAGGCCTGCACTGGGGCGGGGCCGTGTTTGGGGATGAACGCAGCTGCCGGAGTTAACCCTTCCGGGACCGGAGCCAAACCAGTTGCTGTCAAGTTGGACTCATGGCGGCCGCGCGCAGGCAGAGTGGAACAGCTCTGTAGCGTTTTCGGTGGCTGATTGTTTGCGAGTAGATGGTCGGGGCTTTCTTCTGAGGTGCTTCTGGGTGGATGTGAACCTCCAACCTTTCGGTTAGCAGCCGAGTGCGTTCGCTGTTTGCACCACCCAAGACTCCCTAATGAGAACGGTCAGGTTATATGGTGACCCACTAGGAAGGTTTTGTGGCATCCTTTTGGGGACCTGACCCGCCGAGTGGCAGCCCTGGTGGGAGGAGGCGTGCCGTGGGTCCCAGGCTGCAGTTTGTTCCTTCGCCTGTGAGGTGAGGTCGCCAGATTATTCAGGGCCGCCAACTCCACCAGCTCAGCCCTGTGCTGGGAGTTGGGGTGGCACGGGGACTGGGTGGCTGGTGCCTGCCGTGCCCGCAGCCTGAGCGCAGCTGCCCGCACATCCTAACCAGGAGGCAAGGATCCAGACCTGCTGGCTCCCACGCGTGTCCTTTCATTCCACCAGCTGCCCGGAAGGAGGGCTGTGGCCCGGTGCCAGCCTGTGACCCTTTGGCTGATGTCTGAATGGGCAGAGGGCAGTGGGGGGCTTGTCCTGGGTGGTTTCCAGGAGCAGTGCCGTCCACATCCTGAGTGTCTGTGTCCCACGCGTGCCCTGCTCTCAGGCTCCATTAGGGCGTCACTGTCTGCCGCTCCTGAGAGGGACTCAGTGTCGCCTCTGCCGTTCACCTTGCTGGTGTCAGTTCCCCAGTCAGGCCCTGGGGCAGAGTTGGCATCAGCTCCCGTCATCTGGTGCCCGCCGGTGGGCTCAGTGGGCCCGTGACAGCGCCGGATACGGTGGGAAGGCTGAGGGGCCGTGGCAGATGAGTACAGACCGCCTGCCTGCGCGTCAGGCCTGTCCTGAGACCTGTCCCTCCCAGCGTCAGGACAGGATGCTCCACGAGTGCCCCGTGCTCAGGGAAGATGCAAGTGACCACCACCTGACATGGTCGCAGGACGCCGGGGTCTGGAGAACCCAAACCACCTGTTTTCCTGAAGGGCCAGCAGGTCCCCGGAGTCACGTGTGCAGACATGTGAAGGGAGCACAGTGCAGACAGGCGACGAGGGTGCATCCCGGGGGGCTAGTGAGTGTGTCCCAGCCCCCCAGGACCAGGCATTGGTGCCTGCGAGGCACCTGTTCTCGCCGGAGGGGAAGCTGAGGCCCAGGGCAGTGCAGCGATTGGCAGAGTCTGGTCCCTGAACACCAGTCAGGAGTAACTTCTCCCCCGCGCAGAGCACCGTGCCCAGCATCCGACTAACTGATTTGGCTCCAGACACGTGTCGGGGCTGCCTTGGGGATCCCCTTGGCCCCGTGCCCTCTGGTCCCGCCCGCAGTGTCTGGCCTTAGCAGCTGTAGCTGGCTGAGCTTAGACCTCACCGTGCCGCCTCCCTCCTCCCCGTGGCCACAGCAGCCTGCCCTGGGTGCGTGTGGTTGAGATGACCCCAAGGACCGGGGTGTGCTGATGTGACGCAGAGAAGAGGGGTGTCCACTCCAAGCCCGAGGGTGGGGCTCCCTGGCAGCCTCGCCACCAGCCCGCCGCTGCAGAAAGGCCTCTTTGTCTGCAAGAAGCTTAATAAAGTCCACTCGATCGTGTCTCTTCATGAAGGTCCTGCCTGCAGCTCAGAGTGAAAGCTTCTCTCTCCAAGCACGTCGACGTGGGGCCGCTTGCCGAGGGGACCCTGGCGTGGGGCCTTTGTCTGGGCCAGAGCCTGGGGGTGACCCTTCCACTTCCAGTACCTTTCTCGGCCCGCGTCTCCGTGGAGGTTGTCCTGCCCCTGCTAGTAAGTAACGTATCTTCATTACACAAGAGGAAAGTCCTGAGAAGTTTGAGAGGGAAGATCACTTCTGATCTTGACACGGTGGTATCCTGCCGTGTCTCCTTTGAGTCTTTTTATTGCTTTTTTTTGTAACGTATCCAAGAACTTGGTAATGAAACGTGAAACTCTCCCTAAGGATCCTTTAGAAAGTCAGTTGTGCGTGCTGTGTCTTCCACAGGCCGTGGGTTTGTGTGCACAAATGCTTGGAGGACAGGGCGGGTGTCCAGTGATCAGCCCCCCTGTGCTGGTGGGGCTCCCCACCTTGCTACCCTGTGCTCACACCAGTATGGACAGAAAGCACACATCCTTCTCACACGAATGGGCGTGACCCTGTGCCGGGTCACACTCTTTTTGAGGGTGGGGGTCACCCTGCAGAGGGGGGTGCAGGCAGCCTCGGCGACCTCAGACCCCACCCCACTCACCCTGCCCGCTGCCCCCCGGCCTTGGGCTGGTCCCCAGCAGGGCCTCTACCTGCTTAGGTGTGGGAGTGAACAGCCCCCAGGGTGCTGGGCCAGGGCTGCTCTGGATGCCCCCGCAAGCCGGGAGCCTCAGGCGACCGTCGTGGACTCGGGCCCCCGTGTGCACGTGACCCCGAGCCTCAGCTCGTCACCGTGTGGAAACCGGCTATGAGGGGGTCAGGTGTCTGGTCCCGGTCAGGCCGTGAGGAAGCTGCGGCCGGAGCTGCTGCTCTGTGCCGGGCACTTGACGGGCCTCAGAGATGCCGTGCTGGGTGTGGGGCCCCCGCCTCTCCTGGGAAACCAGGGTTCTCACCCTGGAGTGTGTTGGAGAGTCACTGTCAAAGCAGCCGTCCATCCTGTGTGCACCAGCTGTCCAGACAACCTTCTTGTTCTTTAACAGCTTGATTGCAATGCACCTCACACGCCACACTTCACCCGCGGGAGGCACGTGCGCCGCCCACTTTATCCACATGAGTTATGTTCAGAGTGTGCAGCCATCACCACTGTCTAGTTCCAGAACTTTCCGTCACCCCACACAAACCCCATGCCCATCAGCAGTCGCCCTCATTTCCATCCAGTAGCCCCTGGCAACCACTTCCCGTTTGTATGGCTTTGTCTGTTCTGGACATTCGCTGTCAGTGGGATCAGACACCACGCGTCCTCTCGTGCCTGGCTTCTCTGAGCGAGCATCGTGTTTTCGAGGTTCGTCCATGTCATAGTGTGTATCGGAGCTTCATTTCTCTTTACGGCCAAGTAATTGTCCCAGTGTGTGGATGGACCACACCTGCCTTGAGGCCTGAGCCCCCTCCCCAGCCACCACACCCAGTCTGTCCTGAAGCCTCTTCTCGGTCCCTCTAGCCTCAGTGACGTCGATGGCCTGCGCTCACTCTGCGGATGCTCCTCTGGTCAGTCAGGCAGTGGGCAGCTGGCCTCTCTGCTCTGGGCCACACGCCGGCTGACAGGGCCTGGGAGGTTCTGGAGAGCCACGGGCGGGCGTGTTGAACGGGAGCCCTGCGCCGCCCAGAAGGCAGTGCTTCCTCTCTTTCAGAAGCACTTCTGACGGCGTTTTCCTTTTCCTTTACACGTTGTTCTTTTTCTTTCTTTTCTGGCCAGGGATGAGATACTCATTGTAGAAAACTGAAAATAGAAGCAATGACGCTAAAGCCCTCGCGGTCCCCCAGAGCGAGCCACAGGAACACGTGTGGTATCCTCTCCTGGGCGTTCCCTGCGCCAGGGTCACACTGCACGGCTGACTCTAACCTGTGGCTCTCACAGCCCTGTCCAGGTCACACTGTACACCTGACTCTGTAACCTGCAGCTCTCACGGCCCCGTCCGGGTCACACTGCATGCCTGATTCTAACTTGCAGCTCTCATGGCCCTGTCCAGGTCACACTGCACGCCTGACTGTAAACTGCAGCTCTCACGGCCCAGTCCGGGTCGCATTGCATGCCTGATTCTAACCTGCAGCTCTCATGGTCCTGTCCAGGTCACACTGCACGCCTGACTGTAAACTGCATCTCTCACGGCCCCGTCCGGGTCACACTGCATGCCTGATTCTAACTTGCAGCTCTCATGGCCCTGTCCGGGTCACAATGCACGCCTGACTGTAAACTGCAGCTCTCATGGTCCTGTCCAGGTCACACTGCATGCCTGACTGTAAACTGCAGCTCTCATGGCCCTGTCCGGGT